TACGTTTTCTTTTTGTTTTTGTTTTTTTTTGGGGGGGGGGGTAATGAAAGTGTTCCAAAACGCGACATTAATTTCTTGACGACCTAATATTATAGTATGGCACGGATTCGATCACGTCTTATCAGCTCCGAAATCCAGAGCTCTACCACAGGGCCAAACAGTACCCAACAGAAATTATCTAAATGTCTACTTTATGAATTACAAACACACACATATAATTTGTTATGGAGTGGCAGCTTAAAGAAGTTCAGGATCTCTTGTTACTGACCAAGTGCTTTCAGAAACACAAAACCTTATATTAAAGTTAGCGATGGAAACATGAAATGTTTAACATTACTATGTGAATATATCCACAGCTGTAATATTTCAAATTTAAAAACCAGTTTGTTTGTTGTTGTTGTTTTACAAGTCGTACCAAAACAAGAAAATTGCGTGAAATTAAGCAGGTAATAATTAAAATATTCGGTATATGCAGATAACAAAGAACCATTTCCTGAATATCTTTAAGGACGTTCTTGAGGCATCTTAGACAAGTAATATAAATAAAAACTCGATAGTGAACATTGGAAGAAAAAGAAGGGATGAAAGGAGAAAGAGAAGAGAGGGATGAGAAACTTGAGGCTAGAGGTGAAAGGGCTCTAAAAGGTTGAATGCACTCAAGAAAAGATTACAAAAATACGGAAGGTGTCAGAACTACATAACCGGGTGTTTAACTTTTAGGAAACCCAAAAAACCTTTTTAAGAATAAAGTAGAAACACTAGCTTGCAAACACAAAAACGCACGTTACAGTAAGGACACTAATACCATAATTTTAGCTATTTTTTGAGTTTTGGCGACACTATTAAAGGAAAGACAATTGGGATTTGACGAGCAATGTCTTAGTCGAGTCCCAGGATTGAGATGGTTAAGAAGAAAGATGGTTAAAGGGATACCAAAGAAAAAGAAATGTTAATGACAATATAATGGATGTTGAGGTTGGACAACGAACTGGAAGCTGTATCAACCAGACTAAATCAATGTCGGTAAGAAAGAAAACTATAGTATACGCAAAGACAAAAATAAGATAAAGAGTGCTTTAAAACCCAGCATTACTAAAACTAAATTTCAAAAAACTGGACCATCATTAGCATTAAATTGAATGTATAACGGTTAACATGATGGACTCACGTATTAAGTATGGAACTTTCTTTTATAGTATAATTCAATTTCCAGTAATACAATTAGCAGGATACTTATTATTATTTATAATACGATTCGTTCAAGTGTTTGAAATCCTACGTTTTGACCCATTAATGTTTCTTACTACAAGACGAAGCCAGTTCTTCTATACAATGACAGAAAGAGAAAATACTATACACTTAGAGTATGCTTACCTTTCTTTACCTTACAAATACAGTAAATACACTTCTGTAGCATAGTGTTTGTTTAGTAGCTGTAAGATTAATTAAAAAATAACAGTACGTGAGAAATTATAATATCAATGTATATGCTTCACT